GGGAGAAAATGTGGCACGTTCCCATGTGGAAACCTTGCCTTAAACCCTCCTTTGATAATCTCTATGCAAAGGATCTGAGAATGAATTATCAGCAGAGTTTTACAGTCAGCCAACGTGTGAGGGAGAGAGAATAAAGAATGGGACACTGTCGGGGAAAAAAACAAAAAACAATAAGAGAATATGCATATATCAGACAAGCACATGTTTTCCCACAAACAGAATGGGAGCAAGCATATATTAATGTTGAATTAAGTTGAGCATTTTCATGTGCACATACAACCAGTTTAACTTATCAAATATCCAATTTAAAATGCCTTAAACAGTCTTTATATCCAGTTAAACATTTTCTCAGATTACAATACATGCTTAAAGTATTTCATTGGATTTTCACTGGGTCTGAGACTGAAAAGTATCAGCTTCGATTAATTAATTAGGGAGAAAAAATACGAATGAACAAACTTAATCACATAGTGGATTTTAAATCCATTTCATTAAAGCTTATGCAATTGCATGCAGCCCATAATGACAGCTAGCTCTGTCCCTCTCTAATGCGGTGGTGAATAGAGGTTTAATGATACTGGGATTAAACAGAACTGGATAATATAAGTACAAGTACGTCAACTTTGCTTTTAAGAGTAAAATTCACTGATTATTGTTACCACAGAGACCCAATAATTCAAAAGCCAGAGAATAAATGTAATGGAATGACAAACAGCTACAAATGAGTTAGTGTTGGTATGCTAGCATATTAATCGTGAAAGTTTTTCTGTTTTTAGATCGTTGACTTGTAGTCAGAGTGACTGGTAAGCGATTAAAGAAAAATAATCAGCATGTAAACACAGAATACATAAAGAAGGTAAACACATCTAAATATATATAAGTTAATGAGAGAAACACTGTGGATTAAAATATAGCAATATTTCATTTTTTTCACCTAATTAGTTGCATAATTTCCAATATTGTAAAGTATAAAGCTCTAGTAATACCCATATAACATCAATCGTGATAAAACATTGTCTTTTCATGAGGTCCTATCTCACCCGTTGTTTGGGGGGCTAGTTTTAGACAATGACCTAACAGAAGGTGTCTGGAAATTGTGAAGTGCTAAACATCTTTTCTTCAGTTTTTCACAAATACATACTTGATAGCTGTTGGGTGCCTTTCAGTTCTTGATATTCCAAAATAAGATCCATTGTGTATAATGTAATATTGATCTAATTACAGCTATTCTGCTAAGTATTTAGAGGAGATACAGTATAATACATTGGACATGTCAAAGACCCAAGTTCTGTCCACCAAATAAAAATAGAAAGATACGGAAAACCAAAACCAATCAGGACATGGTTTTCCAAATACATTTACAAGTTATGCAAGGAAACCATTAAAGTAACAATCAAGCAAAATACCAATGATAAATCCAGAGGAGCTGCAGACATTTATAGCTAGGATAGTACAGTCTGCAGACAAAGCTATTCATTGTGGACTTCATAAAGCTATCCTTTATGAATGAAAGACAGCCATGGAGGACAGAATGCCATAAGGAGCCCAGTTCACAGTTTAACACCAGCCATTCAAGGGACAAAGTAAATATGAAAAAAGTGGGACAGAGTAAATATGATCAAATTAGAAAAAAATACAATTTCTAAATGGAATAATATGCATACAGACAAGTTACTTTTAATATTCTTAACGATACAGGACTATAGCTCTAAAGGACAAGAGTTTGAAACCGTCAAGTTAGATCAATATGAGTTTAGATCAAAGTATATGTGTATCAAAGTGGCCGGATCAAAACACAGCGCTGAATTCATTCCAAGAACCAGTAGCAACACTTAAAACTGATATTCACAGAAACCCTCTATTCAGCCTAACTAAAGTATGGCTATTTTGAGTAGACAGAGATGGCTTTTATTGGTAATGATGAACCCTAAAAGACTTGCAGCTGTTATTGAAGTGATAGGTTGTTCTACAAACTATTTACCTGGTGAGACTGCAGAGTTGCAAGTTGACAGTCGTGTTTATAATGCAAAATAAAAACAGAAAGGTTCAGGTGCTGTGAATAATTTTGCAATATAGTATAACCATATATCAATTGAGAGAAAATGGAAACTCAAATATTTTAGTTGAGAGAAATCACTCTGAGACAACAGCACAGGGGGATGTCTGGATTATGGAAATACTGTTAATACCAGGCACAGCTCCAAGTAGCACCTACCACTTTCTCCTCTTACACTTATCTCATTTAGGCCCTCTGCAAGCACCATCTCAAAGGAGAGTGCTGTTGCAATACAGACCTTATCACATATCCTTGTTTTCCTTAGACATAACAGACACAAATGCACAGACACTTAATGTTACATATAGGTATCACCTACACACCTACACTTTAAATCAGACCGTGGTATACCTTTCCACCCACACAGGCAAACATGTGATGTCTGGTTTTGTTTACAGAAGTGTGTGCAACTCAAGAGTCCATCTCTCCAAAATACCAGTCATGTGGTATTACCTCCTGCAGAGTGGTAAGCTCTTCCCTTCTAAATCCAACATGAGAAACAAATGTTGCTTTGCCTTGTATGAAATTCACAGTTGAAGCACCAACTGTGTACGCTCCCAAGCTTGTGCCAAATGAACAAAGCACTGAGCCAAAAAAGAAGGAAAGGCTGAAGAAACATGTTATTGGTTCAGAAGTGTAAAACCTGCCACTGTGCTCCAAAAGCCAGCAAATTGGAATCCAAGACAATTTTCCACCTAAAATAAGTGTTGAAATACAGGCTTGGCATGCCCCGGAATATCATGTCAGGGCTGATTTCTTCCTAAAGTCTGAGAGTATGTGCTCGCACAGTTAGTTAAGGTGCATATTGAATATTCTCCCTGTTATCCACTTACTTTCTTTCAGAGCTTTTTTCCTAAAAGCCTATACAGAAACCCCCTGATTGCATTTTGATAAATATCTTTTATTACAAGAAAAATGTTTAAACATCAATAATTATGTGCCTCATATTTACCAAATCAATGAAAATAATAAGACTTGGACTTGTTCCAATGCTTTTTTTAAACTGTGCATAGTTTGACTCTACCAACCTGCATTGTGACTGAGGGCAGGGAGGGACCCTACACTATACAGAGGCTCTGTATTTAGGTCTGATTTATTAAAAATGTCAGACACTGCAGAGCCTAATGAGGGGCCCATTCACAACCCAACAACACCTATGTGATCTCATCTCTATTTGTATTCCCTGCACCGCTATGATATTTGGCAAACTGCGGTCTAGACGGGGGTCTTACATGCACCACGTGGAGCAATCTCTCACATAAAAGGGCAGTTCAATATGAAATTAGATTTTGTATTGCTCCGTTTTTTGTCTGAGTCCAGTATAATCAATAAACAGTTACTAACTAAATAGAGTTTTAGAAAGAACCAACAGAGCCTCATGATAAGATCTGCTAACCTCTTTAGCAAATAAATTTATCATACCATAATGGCAGATGAAATGAGGGTGAGTAAATGAACAAGCGTGGATGAAGAAATATGATTGTTCAAACATATTCAAACATCTTTTTTTTTATTTAACTGATGCTGAACATAAAAGAATCTGATAAGGAAAAAAAAAAAGATGTAAAAACAATGTGTGTCAAATAGGCTAAAATTAGGCTAAGGGCAGATTCACACTACTGATCCGGTCCAGGTCTGTCCATGGAAAGTGAGATAATTCACACCTTTAGTTTGCCCAGTTTAAACAGAAAAAGAGATTTTTCTTGACACTGCAAAACAATGTATCTGAATGACGGCTTGGATGCACATTGATACAATCCCCTCCTGAAACTGGTTTTAGGCACAGTTACAACAGTTCCAAAGGTCTGCTTTACTTTAAGGTTTACTGGAAAATGCTTTTAAAATATTTTGAGAAAATATGTGAAGTGAATTTATCATCAGAACCCTTTAATGGGACAACCCTACATAACATCTATTGCAATCAGTTGCACTGCAAAAACGTTCTGAAAATGGGTACAAATTTCTTTAAACAAGTGTATTTAAATTTGAGTAGGAAAATAAGATGAGATGCCAATGGAATGACCATTTTTACCCTTAAAATAAGATAAATTAGATATTATGCACTTGAAATAAGAGACTGTAGTCTTTTTTTTTCTTATTTTAAATGTAAATTGTCTTATGCCATTGGCAAAGAGTCTTACCTACCTGCTCAATTCAAGAAGAAATGCACTTGTTTTAAGAAAAATTAACTAACTTACTCTGAGCATCTTATTAAATATTCAATCAATCATCTAAGGGAAGCTACAACAGCTGGTTGTCCATCTAAACTAGTATGTCACTCCAGGATGGTATTAACCAGTGAAGCCGCCAAGAGAGAAACGGTAACTGTGGAAAAGCACACTTTCTCCCTTGAAACATGATGGTGACAGCAGCATCATGCCGTGGGGTCGCTTGTTTTTATACCAATCTGGAAGTTTATAAGAGTGAGAATAATGTATTGACTCTAGGGTTGATTGCAGTAGTTCTCTTTCCATTAATTCAGGTTTCATGCTGTTAATATTCTTTTGAGTGAACCTATTGATTTGTGCAACTAAAGCACCGTGGGTCCCACACATCTTCAATACAAGTGGTGGTAAGCAAATCAACAGTAACAAAGCGGAGATAGAATAATAGAAGAGGCAAGAAGGAAGAGATCCCACACCCCACCGCACCCCACCCCCGCAACCCTCGGGTCTTTTTGCCCGGCTTTGAATAACAGTCAACACAACTGGGGCCTGTTCATACCAGCCAGCAATGTCTGAGCTCAGCGCCTCCCCGCACATTCGGCAAATTAAGGAAATGAAAAAAATCAACGATCCGCACCAACAATTTCACATTATCCTATCCACCATTGCAAGCTCACAATGCTGAAAAGGATGGATCGGGGAGGTGTGTATGTGTGTGATTGTGCACTACTGAGGGCAGAAATTGTGGAGTATTTATTATGAGATGTGGATAAACTTACCAGCTGAGTGCCCTCGATTTGTAGCATCGTGGTCGCTGTCACCCTGTTCACTGTCGCCGTGACCACTGTCTTTAGAACTGACAATGTCTGCTTCTTGAAATGCAGAACTAGAAAGGGACCCAGGGAGAGAAGAGGAAGCACAGACAAAGAAAGAATGAAGATGGTTGCAAGGCAAATGGCACAGAAAGTGTGGAGGAGGATTAAATGAGAGGGCAAAGAGACAGAGAGGAAGAATCAGAAGTCAACACCATGCTAATGCGGTCATGGTAGCCATCAAGAGCCTAAATTGGATGTTACACATGGCAAGTAATGAAATCCAGCATTAGGGCTTTAATAGATGCCGCTCTGTCAGTTATAGGACTCATGCCAAATTAAAGATGAACGTTATGGATATGTTGGGAACTGTGCCGGCTTTTAAAACCTCAATTAATGATGTAGATACTGATGGGCATAGTGTTCACTTTAGAGCTGGTCCAAGGCTGTATTGGGTCCTGAGATTCACAAAATTGTATTTGGGAGTCTTTCAGAAACCATCATCCTCAACTTCAAAGGAATATCCTGTCTGCCATAATCATGTTGAAGGTCTGGGTTTGAACATCTCACATAATCACAGTTAGAACAATTTCTCTTTACTTTTGCAGTTTAAATGACTGTAATGTGTAGACAGGTGGAACATAAAGACAGCTATACCATTTACAACATCAAGCTTTTCAGCCATTAAATACCTACATATTTACTCAGAAATAAAAAGTTTAATTTGTCTACACTGATTTGCACATTAATTAAGATTTTAATTTTGAATCATCACATGTTTTAGTTTTGCACAGTTACTTCTACTGTGTCTCTCAAACAATAAATTGTTTATAAATAATCTTAAGAAACTGACATGTAAAACCTTATTGCCGAGTTGACAATGGTTAGCGTGTAATTTTCAGCTTCTGATTCAATTTTCACTGCATTTAACAAACCCTAAAAAGCTTTACTCTACTTGCATGTGCTTTCATCTAAAATACTTTGCAAGCTCAACGTTCCAATTTGCGAATATATGCTTCTTCTACATTCTATAAAACTAAAATTAAAAGTTCCTAGTTGGAAAAACTGGTTTTGGTAATTATAGAACATTGTTTTGTTATCTTAAGGGCAAAACCTACAAATTACAGTTCATTTGGCAGGAGTGCAATTTAGACTACCTTAACAAAAATTTTAATCACTGTTCTTATTTTCACATAAAGAATACAGTTTTTTTTTCCAAATCAAAAACAGCATCAACAGCATGTCAAAGCCTGACCCTTTTACCTGGACCAAATGAGGTGGTCACCAGCCAGAAAAAAAAAAGCCTTGTAATTATGCTGGTGAAGATTTTTGATGGGCTACTGTATAAAACCTCAAACTCAACGCTATTCCTGACATTTTGAAATGAAAAAGCTTCCTGGATGGGAAGCGAAACGTCTTCAAACATGAAAACAAAGTCCAGTGGATTGTTTTTTGTTTTTGTTTTTACTTTTTTGGAATGCCTCTTACATTTTCACAAAACTAATTGAGGTTACAGCTCAAAAACAGTACTTTACATAATTTACCATTTGTGCAAAATTATTCTACTGGAGTTTGACCTATCTGGGTAATGTTTTCTTTAAGTTGAAAGATGATCTGAAACAATTGAACTCTCCAAATTTCCCTGCTCTGATTTATTTTTTAAATACTGGGTCAAAGACAAACCATGTTTTACAGAATATTTTATCAGCTAATAAGTTAGTTCAAATTCAGTCTTTTTAAATATTAAATGCTTCAAACTGAAGACTTAAGTAAGTGCAGATATGTTAAATGCAGTGAAAAAGCCCTTAAGCCAAATATTGATTTCAAAAGGCAAAAACAGGATACAAATTGAAGTGTCATAAAGAGACTGTGGATCAGTTTCAGTCTGAAGCTTTTTAAGTTCCTCTGATGGTGGATGCTGGTAACTAAGTTGAGATGAAAAGAGATGAATGAGTGTTTCTGTGCATCACATCGTGTATTGTTAACTACCTGTTGACACGCCTCGGTCTGTCCACCAGATAGCTGAGTTCTGCTCGTTGGTGTTTTGTCTGGAAAGCCCACAGAAAAAACACATGTGATCACAACCAAAGCCAAACAGGCAGATGATAAAAAAAGTAAAAAAAAAATCCCTGAGTGAGAATACAAAGATAGACTGTAAAATGATCTCAGGGGAAGCGTTGGTGGCACCAGGTGGGTTACCAACGATGTGTGCATCCACTTGGTGAGAGAGTCAGGGTGAGGAGATGAGAGCGAGGGATGATGTGGGGGGGGGGGGGATCTGCGAGCCAATTGAATGCGTAAATGATTGAGACGCCTGATGCTGAAACTGAACAATCTTTGTTCACGGTGCTGCCGTGCTGAGTTGTGCATAGAATACTTAACACACAGAAGAGCAGGGATGTTACTGCTGGTCTGGCTCAACACAAGCTACACAGTAGTCAATAGAAAAGGCAATCAAGATTTTGGATAGAGGCTTATATATGTCTGTATCATATGCATTTCACAGACACACAAATATATATATATATATATATATATATATATATATATATATATATATATATATATATATATATATATATATATATATATATATATATATATATATATAAAATACATTTAGAAAAATGTATTTATATATATGTGTATTTATGTATATATATGTGTGTGTGTGTTAAGTATATAAGATACACAGAACTTATATGTTATCATCCCTCCTTTCCCCAGCCTTGAGATGAAACAAGGATAAAATAGGTCAGAGTACAGGCATCTGAAATGCTATTTATCATAGATGTTTCCTTTTAAGCAGGTTGTTTAAATAACCCTCCATAAAGGGGGTGTAAAAGCAATACAACTCATAATTCTAGAAATTTGGTTTGCGATGAACCATTCTACCTGGCATGTCATTTAAAAAGTTTTCTATAAGGCCCTGAACCAAATAAGGTTTTCTCCCTTTTTAAGTATCATAATTGGTTCCCAAGCAATAACATGCAGTTGGATTAATCCAGACCTGTGGATTAAATTCTGTATATTTATTTTTATTTCAATACTGCACAAACCAGAATAATAAAAACAACAAAAAACTTGTGGCTTGGCCTTATTGAGGTGAAAGAGAAAACAATATCCAAACAAATAAGCACACTCAATTGTAGTTCAGTGTTTTTAAATAGCAAAATAATGCCAATTACTGAGATAGTGTGTTCTTGATTGGTGTCTAAGTTAAAATTTATCTTACAGTCACGTTTTTTTATAAAGGTTGATAGATCACTCTCTTGCATTCTAAAATTCCACGTGAGATTTAACAGCTGACATGTCCAATCACCTTTAAGCATACTAATGATTAAAGGGCACTGAGCATGGCAGCCAAATCAACAGCAGAGCCCTTTTCTGAGACTTTTAACTTTGCGTGATATGAATTGGTAACGCACTTTAACAAAGCAGACGCAGTTAGGAAGGTTAACCCGTGTAAAATGCTGGTTTTCCACACTATTAATGCATATTACGCATGAGCTTTGGTTTGATGCTGAAGTGAAAATGCCTTACCTCGCTGGATAGAATGCCACCATTAGATAAAATGTCAGGCTGCTGATCACTGTAGCCGGTTACTATGGCCCCGCAGGGGTTGGTGTGGTCTGCCTCGCTGCTGCGGGAGGGGCTGCACGGCTTCAAAAACATCAGATCCGTCTTGGCGGACTCCGGTGTCAGGCACACCTGGTAGCAGTAGGAGTTCTGGGTCTGGTGGTGGTGGGAGCCGAACCCCCCTCCCACGCCCCCCACCCCTGACTCCTCCACTGGCACCTGCCCGACGGGCCCAACTCCCGTGCTCACGTTGGTGCTCTGAACCAGCATGATGTCTGATTTGCTCAGTTTTTTCTGCTTTCTGCCGCGACTCTGCCGGCTACAGCAAGAGCCGCAGCAGAAGCAGCAATCTCCGGCCAGCAGACATGTGTAAAGGTTGAGCTTCTTGTCCTTTTGGCAGCGCACAGCCAGCACGATCATGGCCAGGAGGAAAATAAATGACACTGAGCCCAGAGCGATGATAAGAATCAGGGTAAGATCAAGGGAGGTATCTTTAGACTTAGAGGCCGAGCCGCGGTCCCCACTGCGGCCCTCCACCACGCTGTCCACCAGTAACACGCTCACACTGGCTGATGAGGAGAGAGGGGGCTGCCCGTGGTCCCGCACCTCGATCAGCAGGTCATACAAGCTCTGTGGGTCCCGTTTGGCGGATATCCTGCGCGCCGTTCTCAGCTCTCCTGTCCTCCAGTCCATCCGAAACATCCCCATCTCATTGCCCCGGAGGATGCTGTAGGAAAGCCGTGCGTTTTCGCCATCATCTGCGTCCATGGCCACGATGCGCGTCACCAGGTATCCAGGCTCCGCAGAGCGCGGCAGGTGCTCCTTAGCTGTTCCATTCTTTCCTATAGGAGCTATAACAGTGGGAGCGTTATCATTTTGGTCAACGATGATGACGTTTACAGTGGCATTAGAGAACAGCTCCACAGCACCTGAGTCTTTAGCCTGAACCATGAAGCTGAACTCTTTCAGCTGTTCGTAGTCGAAAGAGCGCAGCGCGTAAAGATAGCCGGTGTCTTGGTTTATGGAGACATATGTGTCCACAGACATGCCCTGGATGTCACACTCCAATATGGAGTAGGTAATTAGAGCATTCTGTCCTATATCAGGGTCCAGGGCGCTCACTGCATGAATGAATGCCCCGGGCACGTTGTTTTCAGTTACATACACATCATAAACTGCCTGCGTAAAGCGGGGCGCGTTGTCGTTTTCGTCGGACACATGCACCTTAATAGACTTACTGGTTGCCAGCGAGGGCTGACCTCTGTCTTTGGCCACCACGGTGATGGTGTATGAGTCCGTGTTTTCTCTGTCCAGTGAGCCGTCCGTTACGATGGTGTAGTAATTTTTAAACGAAGACTTTAACTTGAAAGGGACGTCGCCCAGGATTTCACAGCTCATCTGACCGTTCTCACCAGAGTCTCGATCCGAGACGCTGAACAGGGCAATCACGGTGCCAGGGGCGTCCTGTTCGCTCACAGACTCAGTTACAGTGCTGAAGCCGATCTCAGGCGTGTTGTCGTTCACGTCCAGGAGTTTGACCAGCACTTTGCAGTGCGCAGGGACGGCATTGGCACCCAGATCTTTCGCCTGCACATTGATCTGGTGCGTATTGCTCTCTTCATAGTCCACCTCACCTGCCACTTCTATCCTGCCCGTTCTGGCATCGATGGTGAATAAATCCTTTATTCGTGGGGTGTTGTGATTACTGAAGGAATAAACTATTTCTCCGTTTTGTCCCTCGTCTACATCTGTGGCGGTGAGCTGGATGACTAGAGTCCCAACAGGAGAGCTTTCCCGCAGATTAATCGTGTAAACAGACTCGTTGAACGTGGGTGCGTTGTCATTAGAGTCCAGAACTTTAACAACCAGAAGCGCCGTCCCGGTTCGCTGCGGGACGCCTCCATCCACAGCCGTCAGCACATAGCGATGGACCGCCTGCTGCTCTCTGTCCAGCGGTTTCTCCAGCACCAGCTCCGCAAATTTGGTGCCATCGCTCTGCGTCTGCACGTCGAGGTAAAAATAGTTATTGTTAGTTATAGCATAAGTGTTGAGCGCGTTGGTGCCGACGTCGGGATCAAATGCGTTCTCCACTGGGAAACGCGTTCCGGGTATGGCACTCTCAGATATTTCCACTGAAATGTCCGTTTCTGGGAAGCTGGGCGGATTGTCGTTAATATCCATCACTTCGATTTCCACGCGGAAGAGCTCCAGAGGATTCTCCAAAAACACCTCCAGATGCATTAAGCATGGGATTGTCTGCTTGCAGATTTCTTCCCGGTCTATTTTTTCCTTCACCAAAAGCGCGCCGTTCTCCAGGTTCACCTCCAGATAAGGTGTCCTAGAACTTGGCACAGTCTGGAATCGGCGAGCGGAAAGTTTTGTGATGTCCAACCCCAGATCTTCCGCTATATTCCCAACAACGGAGCCAGGCTCTTGCTCCTCTGGTACTGAGTAGTGCAGCTGACATAGAACTCCATTCACAATGGAGAGCAGAAATATAAACCAAATCATCTCCTTTATCCCCTTCCAAGTGCACAACACAAAGAGAAAAAAAAAGGGCTATTCCTTTCTTTTACAAAATATGTGCATTTCCGTTCTTCTCTGAGGGGAAAAAGACAGCAAAACAATCTACAACAAGGCTCTTCAATTCTAATGATCCCATCATTTGGCTTTGCTCAGTTGTTTCAGCTGTGAGGAGCGCAGCCATTTGATCCAATCTTCTCCGTTTTAATCAATTCGGCAGCAGGTATGTGAGTTTTTAGTGTCAGTGCACACATGCAGAAGCTGGACCCAACATTCCTTGTGCGCAGAACTGACTTCCTTCTGAAAAGTGAGATGAAATATAGATGATGAAAAACTTAAAATCCACGTGATGGGAAAAAAATGTAAAAACCTGTAAAGCATTGGAAAAATGAATTCTTTAAAAAAAATTGTGAGACTTTTTCCAGGAGGTTGTAATGACTGCGCCTAAGCGCTCAAAGCCGATGATGCTCTCATCTCTGCTTCTGGAAGGCGAGTGTGAGCGGCGGGGCTGGTTTTGCGCACAGCCTCTTTCCCCGGCAGCCAATGATATTCCTAGAACGTCGGGTGTAATGGCACCTGATTGGGGCTCTGTGATGCCAGCTGAAGCGCACGCTGGGCCATCATAACAAAACCAGTTAAAGAGCCGCTGCGCTTCTCTCCTCTCCTTTTTTCCTTTCCTCCATCCAACTCTTTCCTCTTTGCCCGTGATGTTGTAGCAGGGGAATTATGAGTGTTACACACCCTATGAATTAGCAAGCTGGATAATGTAGTTTATTAGTATTGCAAAAAATATATACTAAACAAATTATTTATGGGGCTTTTCACAAACTGTTCTGTTTGCCAAAAAAAAAGAAGAGATAGAGTTTGCCCTTGAGGAATAATCCAACTGTTTAATATCAAAGTGCTGATGTAATACAATCGAATGCGTCAGAGTGCAATAAGGAAGCCCTCAGCCAAACATGTAAAACTGCCTGTGTAAGTAAAATAACCCATGACGCAATACCACACTGTGCAGTGTCTAGATTCTTCTCTTTCCCTTCTTTTTTGTGAAACATAAAAAAAAAATCAAATCTGGAGATCTTACTCAAGCAGGATAATGTAATGAGCTTTTTTTTTTTTTTTTTTTTTTTCCCAGTGGGGCAGTCATGTTTAAGCCCTTCCTTGTTATAATTGATGAAGCCCTTATCATTAACAATCCAGCCCTAACACACCGCCATCACATGTGGATCAACAACTCTAGGATAACCCTGTTGCATAAATTAAATATGCAAATGATTGGTGGGCCTCTGAATAGTTATAAACAGTTTGGATGAAGATGGTGACAATGACAAAAAGACACAAAAAAGACATAACGATACAAAGAGTCTAATAAGCATAAGTCTCTTAATTCCTAATGTAATAGACGTAGCGCTACTAGATAGGCTGTAATGCAAAACGACGTGTCCTTTGTGTAATGAATTAAACAGCGATTCTGCATCTTGCCATACGAGTCACAAGAAACAAAGAGAAAACGTTAGATGAATTTCCACCCATGTCTGAGCTGGAGCTGTGTGACTGAATCGAGCTGACACCAGAGTTGGATCCTGGAGCCCCTCTCCTCCTCTCTCCCTTTTTTTTCTCTCTCTCTCTCTCTCTCTCTCTCTCTCTCTCTCTCTCTCTCTCTCTCTCTCTCTCTCTCTCTCTCTCTCTCTCTCTCCCTCTCTGGTTCTGGTGCGCGCTCTCGTTTTCTCCCTTTGCGCGCTCTGTCGCTGTCCCGGTGAGGGTGTTGGAGAGATCAACGTCGCCCCCTGGCGTTAGCCAAATTTCTTTTGGAAAACAAAAGTCCTGGAGAGGAAGAAGGTTCTCCAAAGGAGCCGCACAGTTAAACCAAACCGAGTCATTTAATCCAGTTTAAAGGCTGCAGCTGAAATTAAAAAGGTGATTTAATGGAAATCGGTATGTGGTAGACTTATTTATTCTCATGACACGATGTATGGAACTGGTTTTTCCAAATATCCTCAGGTCTAAAGGAATTTACTACCATGTAAATTATGTGTAGATTGTTATAAAGTACTTTTTTTGAGAAATGAAAATGTTTAAATTTCATATTCTTAATCAATCTTAAATTTAGCCACAGCTAATTCAAAGAACATCATTTTAAATTGAAGTAAGGTAACTATTAAATGTATTTTGATAACGCAGTCTTACTACCAATTGGATGATTCTGGGTTTGCATTCCTCTGTAAGCAATCTGCATGTTCTCCCCATGCAGGGTTAAGTCACTGAAAGGATTAAATGGCAATAGCACATGGATGGAGGGTTCCATTGAAGCTAATGTAAGACATTGCAAGAGTATTCATACTCAGTAGCTATCGTTCTGCTGGATTACAAGAACAAGCTGAAAAGTAATACACTGAAAAAATCAATTGATGCATCTTTTGCCACTTGTTAAACATATCTAGTTACTTTAAAACAACTGTTTCATGTTAGAAGGGTGCAACATTTTCAGTGTATTTAATGTGCATAATCAACACATGGCTTTGCTTGAGAATGAAGAGGAACAGAAAACATACATGGATACAAATTGTTAGACAAGCAAAAATCTTAAAGGTGTGGCATGCATCTGACTTCAGAACATTTATGTTAGAGTAATATCCAGTGTTTTTAGAAATCACTTAATTAGTGAATAGAATCCTCCACTATGTAATATTTTTCACTTAATTTATTATGGAGCAAACCTCACCATTAGGGCAAATAATTGTAGAGGTATTTGAGACAGGAAAGACAACATTCTTTCCTGTCTCAAATTTAATTAACGAATTTTTCGACAACAGGATTATTAGTTTTGGTTGTTTTATTTTACTCACTTTCCATTTTTTAAAGAGGGGCAAAAAGAAGGGCATGGATTAATAATACTTATAGCCAACCCTATTTCAAGTTAGCAGGACTGAAACCACAAACTTATGATGTGCTCTGATGATACCAACATCTATTTTCTCCTAATTGCAAAATGCTAGGGGAAAAAGAATCTTAACATTACTCAATGACCTGAATACACCACTCTCGTGTTAAAGCATTGTGGTGTTAAAATCATGTTATATAGATTTTTTAATAGTCGTAATTGATGAGAAGATGAATAAATTTAAAGACATTGGCTTCAGATGAAGGAGTTTGCCCTGCAACTGGAGGGTTGACAACGGCTCCGGCTCTCAGTGCCGTTGTGTCCTAGGGCAAGACGCTTCACCCACATTGCCTATTGATGGTTTCCATTTAATCTGAGAGCTTCAGTGTATTTGAAAAACAGAACAATTGTGTTGAGGACACCACAAAGCTGGTAGCGACATGCTAAATGCCAGTTATACACATTGCAGTTGTCTCAAAGTCTGGTCCTCAAGGGCTGGTGTCCAACAGACTTAACATGTGTCTCACATGTGTCTCTTCTGTATCACAGTCAACTCATATAGTAGCTCATTAGCCAGAGGTATTTAGAGCCTAAAGGCATGCTAGTGAAGCATTTCAGAGACAAATCTAAAAGCTCCAGTTAAACCTGAGGATTGGCATTTAAAATCACTGCTATATATACAGGTGCTGGTCATAAAATTAGAATATCATGAAAAAGTAGATTGATTTCAGTAATTCCATTTAAAAAGTGAAACTTGTATATTATATTCATACATTACATACAAACTCATATATTTCAGATGTTTATTTTGTTTAATTTTGATGATTACAAATGACAACAAATGAAAATCTCAAATTCATCATATCAGAAAATTAGAATATTGTGAAAAGGTTCAAAATTGATGGCCCCTGGTGCCACACTCTAATCAGCTAATTAACTCAAACCACCTGCAAAAGCCTTTAAATGGTCTTTCAGTCTAGTTCTATAGGCTACACAATCATGGGGAAGACTGCTGACTTGACAGTTGTCCAAAAGACGACCATCGACACCTTGCACAAGGAGGGCAAGACACAAAAGGTCATCGCTAAAGAGGCTGGCTGTTCACAGAGCTCAGTGTCCAAGCACATTAATAGAGAGGCGAAGGGAAGGAAAAGATGTGGTCGAAAAAAGTGTACAAGCAAGAGAGATAACCGCACCCTGGAGAGGATTGTGAAACAAAACCCCTTCAAAAATGTGGGGGAGATTCACAAAGAGTGGACTGCAGCTGGAGTGAGTGCTTCAAGAACCACCACACACAGACGTATGAAAGACATGGGTTTCTGCTGTCGCATTCCTTGTGTCAAGCCACTCTTGAACCACAGACAGCGTCAGAAGCGTCTTGCCTGGGCTAAAGAGAAACAGGACTGGACTGCTGGTGAGTGGTCCAAAGTCATGTTCTCTGATGAAAGTAAATTTTGCATTTCCTTTGGAAATCAAGGTCCCAGAGTCTGGAGGAAAAGAAGAGAGGCACTTCATCCACGTTGCTTGAAGTCCAGTGTAAAGTTTCCACAGTCAGTGATGGTTTGGGGTGCCATGTCATCTGCTGGTGTTGGTCCATTGTGTTTTCTGAGGTCCAGGGTCAACGCAGCCACATACCAGGAAGTTTTAGAGCACTTCATGCTTCCTGCAGCTGACCAACTTTTTGGAGATGCAGATTTCATTTTCCAACAGGACTTGGCACCTGCACACAGTGCCAAAGCTACCAGTACCTGGTTGAAGGACCATGGTATCCCTGTTCTTAATTGGCCAGCAAACTCTCCTGACCTTAACCCCATAGAAAATCTATGGGGTATTGTGAAGAAGAAGATGCAATACACCAGACCCAACAATTCAGAAGAGCTAAAAGCCACTATTAGAGCAACCTGGGCTATCATAACACCTGAGCAGTGCCACAGACTGATCGACTCCATGCCACGCCGCATTGCTGCAGTAATACAGGCCAAAGGAGGCCCAACTAAATACTGAGTGCTGTACATGCTCATACTTTTCATGTTCATACTTTTCAGTTGGCCAACATTTCTATAAATCCTTTGTTTTTATTGGTCTTCAGTAATATTCTAATTTTCTGATATGATGAATTTGAGATTTTCATTTGTTGTCATTTGTAATCATCAAAATTAAACAAAATAAACATCTGAAATATATGAGTTTGTATGTAATGTATGAATATAATATACAAGTTTCACTTTTTAAATGGAATTACTGAAATCAATCTACTTTTTCATGATATTCTAATTTTATGACCAGCACCTGTATTGGGGTAATGAATATTTGTGCATGCAGTGCTTTTCAAACTTTTTAACTATAGGTTAAGTTTTTGTTTCATACTTCTTAGTCTGGAAAATACCAACACCTAAGATACATTTGAATTTGTGACACTAACATTGCAAAATGTCACAAACCATGGGTGGTGTGAATAACTTTGTAAGATGCTATGACAATTTGTACTCCCTCAAACTATCATAAAACTAACCTTGTTGGTCCACATTCATTTAGACCCTTCATGCAGAATCTTAACTCTTTTAAAATCACAGCATGAAACATTGTTATGTTTAAACAGGCACTGAGCACTTTAGAATGTTTTTTTTTCTAACTTTGAC